CCAAGCAAGGTAGTTCACGCCTGCACTCCCAGCACTTTGGGAGGCTGCAGGGAGCAGATAACCTGAGGTCAGGAGTTCGAGACCAGCCTGGTCAAAATAGTGAAACTCTGTCTCTACTAAAAATACAAAATTAGCTGGGCATGCTGGCGTGGGCCTGTAGTCCCAGATACTCAGGAGGCTGAGACAGGAGAAGTGCTTGAACCTGGGAGGTGGAGGTTGCAGTGAGGCGACATTGCCCCTTTGCACTCCAGCCTGGGCAACAAGGAGCAAAACTCTAAAAAAAAAAAAAAAAAAAAAAAAAAAAAAAAGTACATGGAAAAGACTTTACCTTTTTCATGGCATCTGTAAGTTTTCTGCCTTGCATATAACTTTGGTAAAAGAATTTTATACGTAATAATTAGGCATAATATTCAAGAAAGCAGACTTATTCTCCTCCCCTATAACATATCTAAATGTAAAATAAGTACCCTAGAATTGCCACAACTGGCTTAGACTTAGGGCTCTCAAGTTTTGCATGTGGGCCTTCAAAGACAAAATATAATTTCCAAACTCTTTATTATGTGGTTTACAGAGCATCTGAAGATTGGTTTCATGAGTCTGAACTTGGTATGAAAGACGTTCAAATTCAAATCCCCAAGCCAGCGCGTCAATGTTTTTGTAGGCTTCACAGTGCTGGGCTCTGCATCCTTCTTTGGCCGCCTTATACCAAAAGGCTGAGTTTGGAAATCAAAAGGGTCAGCCCGGTTTCAGCCCCTCTGCAGACAATAAGTAGAACAGATTAGAATAGATTCACTACTTATTTTATTATACATAATACTTTTACTTTTCCCAATACTTACAGTAGAAAAAAGAAATTTTGCACATCATTGTTTTTTTAGATAAGAACATGTTAAGCCTTGAAAAGTAAGTTAAATTGACACTGGAGCTTTACTTCAAACTCTAAACATATAGTCTTTAAAATGCTAATAATACTATTAATCATCAAGTTTTACCATTAAATAAATGTTTTAGATACAGTGGCTTTATTTCAGACTCCATTTCCTGTGACCTAAAAAATGGGAGAAAAATTAACTTCAACTATAAAAATCTAAATTTCAAATAAGAGGTTATTCTATGTGGAAAAAACACAAACAAGCATTTATAAAGACTGAATAGAAATGAATGGAAATGAAAATAACTGACAGTAAATTTCTTGGATTTGCAAATTTTGAATACTTATTTTGAAGGCTGGAATGTTTAGCAACTTTTAACCTTAAATTATTTCAAATCAACCAAGTACTTAGTTTTGAGGAATTTTTGTGAGGATGAGGCTCATTAGTGAGTTTTTAATCCACAAAAATAAAATCCAATTCCAATTACCAAGTAATATTTAGAGTTATCTTAAAGATTATACAGCTGGCCACAGGTTTTAGGGAGGTACAACAGTTTATAATGGGACACAATACTTTGCACATATTAAAAGTTAATTCCTATTGTATCTTTATCCTTTTTTCCCTTAAAATATTTTTCATTTTATTTATTCTTACTTTATTATAGTTTTCCTTTTTCCCAGAAATCACCACAACATTACAGTCTGGTATTTAGTATATAAGCATATTTGTTCTTCAGCATAGTTAACATTTTCCACTAGCATCTGATGCCATGCTACTGTTAATTCTGTTAACTCTGCTGCCTAGATTGCTAGACCCCAACCACAGCCTGGCAGAGAGTGAAGGGAGCTTTTGTTTTTGTACCGCTTTATTCTGGTCTAGTGCAACAGGAAAGAAGAGCTCTCTGCCATTGCAGGTACCCAGACTAATGCTAGGAAGGGAAAAAGCTTTAACTCTGAGTAAAATTCAGAGTATTCATTATTGCAACTATTAAGGAGAATATTCAAAACTTGGAAATAAGGTTAAGCGATGGCTGCATGACCTTTTAATGTCATGCTAGAGCACTGTTTAAAAAGGCTGCCTAACAGTCATCTAATTCTCCAGGGCAAGTAATTTTGTTGGACACTGTATTCACTATGGCTTGGAGCTAACATATCTACATAAACAAACAATTTTATAGCTAGAGGCTAACTTAAATAAAATGGATGAAGTGTGACAATTCTCTTTTCTGACCAGTAGAAAGAGCAACTTTAAAGATTATACTTTCATTGCCCTATAGAACCTAACCAGTTTTGTATCTAATTTAGCAATCTTATCTCAGCATTCCTTTTTCCCCCATTCATTATAAAAAACAATAACCAAGTTTTTAATATTACCATTTCAACTAACTTTTTCATCCTACTGGTTCTCTCACTGAGTTAAATGAAACTAGGGCACATGCCCCCAATCTAGTTTATTCTAATTTGAATCTATTTAACTCTCATCCTAGAATTATGTTTCTATGTAGTGGCTCAAGCCTGTAATCCCTGCACTCTGGGAGGCAGAGGCAGGTAGATCAGGAGGTCAGGAGTTCAAGACCAGCCTGGCCAAGATGGTGAAATCCTATCTCTACTAAAAATACAAAAACTAGCTGGGCATGGTGGCAGGCACCTGTAATCCCAGCTACTCGGGAGGCTGAGGCAGGAGAATCGCTTGAACTCGGGCGACAGAGGTCGCAGTGAGCCAAGATCGTGCCACTGCATTCCAGACTGTGTGACAGAACAAGACTCCATCTCAAAAAAAAGAATCATATTTCTAAGATTACAAGAATTTTATCTTATATCACTGGGGCCAGAAATTGTGCTAAATGGCTATTACTAGCTGTAAGGGAGGCTGGGAATTTGAAGATTCACTTTTTAGTCTTTGTAAGCTAAGAAGGAAAAAAGAGCTTTCAAGAGACCAAACCTATAATAACTGTCACTAAAAATGCATGTGTGGTAGTAATGGCAGGGGAATGGTGAGAGAGAATAATCAAGAATGATCCCCAGATCAGGCTTAGGTTGTAAATCTACTAACATGAAGAACTCCGGAGAAGAAACAGGTCAATACTAAGCACTGAGAAATTAAAAGCTTTATTATTATTATTATTATTATTATTATTATTATTATTATTGACATCCACTGATTCAGCCCTAACATTATGTACAATTGTTATGTGCTGGAATTTTTTTTTTTTTTCTGAGATGGAGTCACTCTGTTGCCCAGGCTGGAGTGCAGTGGTACCATCTAGACTCACTGCAACCTCCACCTCCCAGGTTCAAGCGATTCTTGTGCCTCAGCCTCCCGAGTAGCTGGGATTACAAGCACGCACCACCATACTTGATAATTTTTGTATTTTTAGTAGAGACAGGGTTTCACTGTGTTGGCCAGGCTGGTCTTGAACTCCTGACCTCAAGTGATCCACCTGCCTCGGCCTCCCAAAGTGCTGGGATTACAGGCATGTGCCACTGTGCCCAGCCTGTGCTGCAGATTTTAAAGGAAGAAAAGTAATTTATAATTATCCAAATCCTTGTAATAGTTGGTCAGTTGGGTGGCAAATCCCAGCCTATCAATTATATAGTAGAGTGCCCCATCCAATGAAACAGTTTATGACAGAACACTTGCATTAGACATTGCTTGTATTAGACACTGGATTTGTGGCCTCCAAGAAAATTTTCCAAGCAAATGACTCTATTTACCTCCAATTTACTACAAAACAAACACCTGCAATATAGGAATTACTTAGAAATTTTAGTTCAAGTGTGTACTAAACACAAATGAAACGTTTTTATAGAGTATAGAAGAACTGTAAAAACACAATGCAATGTTTATTTTCAGATAGTTGTCCCTCAGTCTACATGGAAGTTTGGTTCTAGGACCTCTGCATATACCAAAATTCATGCATACTCAAGTCTCACGGTTAGCCTTGTGGAACCAGCCAACAAAAAGTTCGCCCTCAGTATACGCAGGTTTCGCATCCCACAAATACTGTATTGTCAATCCATGTTTGGTTGAAATAAATTTACATGTAAGTGGACTCTTGAAGTTCAAACCGTGTTGTTGATGGGTTAACTATACTTAACTTTATAAATACCATCAGCAACAACAATATTACCTTTTTCCTAGGAAAAATATCTGATGGTATTTACAAAGTTCAGTATATTTAAACCCTTTATCTGTCAAACATTAATTTTAGAATTTGATAAGGTTTAATTATTAACCAGATTATTCCTCTTCTACAATTTGATTAGTTGATTATGTGGCAAATAAGGACACCAATCACACCAAGGTGGGATGATACTATAACACTATTGGGTACCTATGACCGAGTCCTCTACTGAGTATGAAAACTTGTAGCCTGCCAAGTCGTCCTGAAGTCCACCAATCTTTATTATACTTATTTTAAAGGAATCATCCATTTTGTAAAACTTTTAATTTCCAAAATTTGTACTGCTTTAAATTTGGGAACTCTGTGCACAGTATTAAAAAAACCATTTAGGATGATCCCTTAATAAGATTTATCCCATTAAAACAATGAATTTCTATAAAACTATGTCTTCCAGACTCTATATCCAGTTATTAGGTCATACAGATTTTACTTTTGCAATATCTCTTCTATCTATTCTTTTCAACCCCCTAATCACTGTCTTTAGTCTGATCTATAAATTGGCTGTATTAATATTTATCTTCCTCACTAGGCTACAATAGCTTCCTGTAGGTTTTTTCCTTCCAAATCATTCTGATATTGAATTATACTCCTAGAACAAAGGTTAGAAAATGTCATTTCTGTTTTAAGATGTTCAAATGTTCCCAGTGCCTACAGAGTAAAATCCAAACTAGTCCCAAACTACTTCTTTGGTTTCATTTCTTACTACATGCCACTTCTCACTTTATGCTCCAGTTTCAACTGCAAATATCCTAATCCAAAATGAACTTTTGTTCCTATTTGCCTTTGCTAATGCTTTTCCCTCAGCCTGGAATGCTCTTTACCCTTTTTTCCGCCTAGTAAAATACACTCATCCTTTAAGATTTGATTCAAATACCATCATCTCCTTTGGGGAGGACTACATGTCTACCAATCTGAAACAGATTAATAATTGCTCTGGGCACCCATGGAATTGTACCCTTACAGAAGCATTTATTTTCCATTAGTTTCTGCCTTCTTGGAGCCCATAGAAAAAAAAAGAGTGAATAAATATAAAATAAGAAACATAGTCACAAATATAGGCATAAAGTGTTCAAGTTCAGATACCATATTAAGCAAGTTAAAGTGATTTTTTTTTTTTTTTTTTTTGAGACGGAGTTTCGCTGTTGGTGCCCAGGCTGGAATGCAATGGCGCAATCTTGGCTCACTGCAACTTCCACCTCTGGGTTCAAGCCATTCTCCTGCCTCAGCCTCCCGAGTAGCTGGGACTACAGGCGCCCGCCACCTCGCCCGGCTAGTTTTTTTTTTTTTTTTGTATTTTTTAGTAGAGACGGGGTTTCACCGGGTTAGCCAGGATGGTCTCGATCTCCTGACCTCGTGATCCGCCCGTCTCGGCCTCCCAAAGTGCTGGGATTACAGGCTTGAGCCACCGCGCCCGGCCAGTTAAAGCAATTTCTAAATGTATTTGTAAAGCACCTGATTTGTTAGAGCAGATAGTATCCTAACTATTCCGTACAAGATGAAAACCAACTTTGTCATTTTTATTATATTTGAGAGTCACAGGACATTTTTACTTAAAAAAAATTTTTTTTTTCCCCCGCAGGTTGCAGTGGCTCACGCCTGTAATCCCACCATTTTGGGAGGCCAAGGCAGGTGGATCACCTGAGGTCAGCAGTTTGAGACCCCATCTCTACTAAAAATGCAAAAATTAGCCAGGCATGGTGGCATGCACCTGTAGTCCCAGGTACTCGGGAGCCTGAGACAGGAGAACCACTTGAACCTGGGATGCGGAGGTTGCAGTGAGCAGAGATCATGCCACTGCACTCCAACCTACACAACAGAGCAAGACTCCATCTCAAAAAAATTTTTTTGTTGTTGTTGAGAAAGGGTCTCACTCCGAATGCAGTGATGTGATCACAGTTCACTGTAACTTCGAACTCCTGGGCCCAAACTATCCTCTCACTCCAGTCTCCTGAGCAGCTAGAACCACAGATGCATACCATCACAACTGGCTAATTAAAATTTTTTTTATAGAGACAAGGTCTCACTATACTGTCCAGGCTGATCTGAACTCCTTGCCTCAAGCAATGCTCCTGGCTTGGCCTCTCAAAGTGGTGGGATTATAGGCCACCATGCCTGGCCCATTTTTAATTTGCAAAAAAATTTTTTTTCTAACAACATTGTAATTCTGTATTTTAATTATATCATGTGAGTCCAAGAACATTATATGAAACTATGCTACGTTAATACATATTTTCAAAAATAAATTTTGAAGGAGATACCTGTTCACTGAATGTCATCTCAGAGTACAGAGATAAAATCTAATTGGCAATTTTTGATGCTTTGAAGTATGTGGGATTGCTACTATTCTTGATAAATTTAAGAGATGAATGCAGTTTATATAGCCAACAAGAAAAATTACACACATAATTTTTTCCTTAACATGTCGTACACTGTGATTTGTAGTAAACCAGGCTGAGTGTGATGGCTCATGCCTCTAATCCCAGCACTTTGGGAGGCTGAGGCAGGAGGATTTCTTGAGCCCAGTTTGAGACCAGCCTGAGCAACATGGCAAACCCTCACGTCTACAAAAAGTAGCCAGATGTGATGGTGCATGCCTGTAGTCCCAGATACTCGGGAGGCAGAGGTGGGAGAACTGCCTGAGCCCAGGGAGGTTGAGGCTGCAATGAGCTGTGATCGTGTCACCGCACTTTAGCCTGGGCGACAGAGTGAGACTCTATCTCAAAAAGAGAAAAAAAAAAAAGTAAACCAACTACCAAAGTACTGCAAAATAAATTTCTTAAACATGAAACACATGATACCTTGGAAAGGTGACATACGTGGCTGTTTCCTTCTTTTTTTCCTTCTCTTTCTTGGTGTTTCATATTTTGTCCTTAAAACAAAAGGAAACATATTAATGATTGCTTCAATAAAAAAAGACACACAGACCTTACTTATTTTTTAGTAGTGATTACATTCATGGCCCAAAATTTAAAAAGCAAAACATCTCCCTTCTACCTGTCAACCAGCCATCTAAATTTTCCCTTGGTCACTTATGGTTGTTATAACAAAATGCCACAGGTGGGTGACTTAAACAACAGACATTTCTCACAGTTCTAAAGATTTGGAACCCCAAGATCAAGTTGTCATCAGATTCAATGTCTGGTTAGGGCCTACTTCCTGGTCTCCAGACTACCTCTTACCATGGTATCCACACAGAGTTGAGAGAGGAAGCTCTAGTATCTCTTCTTCTTCCTCTTTTTTTTTTTTTTCTTGAAACGGAGTCTCACTCTGTCACCCAAGCTGGAGGGCAGTGGTGCACTCTCGGCTCACTGCAACTTCCATCCCCTGGGTTCAATCAATTTTCCTGCCTCAGCCTCCCAAGTAGCTGGGGTTACAGGCATGCACTACCACACCCTGTTAATTTTTGTATTTTCAGTAGAGACAGGGTTTTACCATGTTGGCCAGGCTGGTCTTGAACTCCTGACCTCAAGTGATCTGCCTGCCTCAGCCTGCCAAAGTGCTGGAATTATAAGGGTGAGTCACCGCACCTGGCCTCTTCCTCTTGTTATAAGAGCACTAATCCCATCATGGGATATCTACTCTCATGATCTCATCTAGACCTAATTACCTCCCAAAGGCCCCACCATCTAATACATTGTCGGGGGATTAGGATTTTAGCGTATGAATTTTGGAGGAACACATTTAGTCCATAATATTTCCCAAAGATAACAACAAATCTTACAGTTTTTTTTTTTTTTTTGCATATCTTTCCAAAATACTTGTACGCATTTATAGGTTACTAAGTATATATGTTCTTCCCTTCAACACCACTACTTCCATAAATAGCAACACATTTTACACACCATCCTGTGTGGCTATAACTTGAAGGCCATTCCTAATCACTAAGCAAAGGCTTACTTAGTATTTTTTTATGATTGCAATATATTCCATTGTATAGAGATTCCAGAATTTAATCAGCCTACTACAGATGGACAATTATGTTGTTTCCAATCTTTTACATACAATATTGCTACAAATAACGTGTAAACATGTGGTTTTAAAGGTGTGTGAATAAATTACTAGAAGTGTAATTGAGGACTCTGGATTATATGTATTTCTAATTTTAACAGATATTGTCATATTGCCCTTCACTGACACTGAATCAATGTTCTTCCCCATCAGCAGAAAGTACCTAAACTTCCCTGAACCTTGTTCCCCATGTTATTACATGATGTGATAACAAACTTTTGAATCTTTTAACTAATTAGGTGAAAAATGACATTTTTAATTAAAATCTTCATTTTTGTTACCATGAGTAAGTTTGAGTATCTTTAAATAAATTTAAAAGGCATTTATATCTTCCTTTTGTGAGCTGTCTGGTCGTATCTTCTGCACATTTGTCTACTGGGCTGTAAGGCCTTCTAAAATTGATTTTTTCCCCATCCTAAATCACATTTTTAGACTACCTGGTATGGCCAGCCCTATCGTAAATCACGTGACCCAAGGCCTCCAGGCAAACAAAGATAAAAGTTGAATATTCTTTATCCAAAATGCCTGGGACCAGAAGTATTTCTAATCTTAAATATTTTTTTATTTTGGAATATTCATATATACAGAATGAGACATCTTAAGGATAGGACCCAAATTCTAAAAACAAAATTCAAGGCTGGATGCAGTGGCTCATGCCTGTAATCCCAGCTACTCAGGATGCTGAGGCAGGAGGGTCTTGAGGCCAGGAGTTTGAGACCAGCCTGTGCAACATAGAGAGACCATGTCTCTAGAAAAAAATTTAAAAATTAGCCGGGTGCAGTGGCATGCACCTGTGGTTCCAGCTACTCAGGAGGCTGAGGTGGGAAGATCACTTGTGCCCAGCAGTTCAAGGCTGCAGTGAACTAGGATTGCATCACTACACCCCAGCCTGGGTGACAGAGACAGACCCTGCCTCAATACAAATAAATTAATTAATGAAGTTAGTTTATATTTCATATATACCTTAAACACATAGCCAGAAGGTAATTTTATACAATATTTTTTTTTTTTTTTTGAGACAGAGTCTCGCTCTACCACCCAGGCTGGAGTGCAGTGGCGGGATCTTAGCTCACTGCAATTTCCACTACCCAGACTGAAGCGATTCTTATGGCCTTAGCCTCCCGAGTAGCTGGGATTATAGGCACGTGCCACCACACCCAGCTAATTTTTGTATTTTTAGCAGAGACAAGATTTCACCATGTTGGCCATGCTGGTCTCAAACGCCTGTGATCCACCCGTCTCGGCCTCCCAAAGTGCTGAGATTACAGATGTGAGCCACCACACCTGGCCAATAATTTTTTTTTTTTTTTTTTTGAGACGGAGTCTCGCTCTGTCGCCCGGGCTGGAGTGCAGTGGCCGGATCTCAGCTCACTGCAAGCTCCGCCTCCCGGGTTTACGCCATTCTCCTGCCTCAGCCTCCCGAGTAGCTGGGACTATAGGCGCCCGCCACCTCGCCTGGCTAGTTTTTTGTATTTTTTAGTAGAGATGGGGTTTCACCATGTTAGCCAGGATGGTCTCGATCTCCTGACCTCGTGATCCGCCCGTCTCGGCCTCCCAAAGTGCTGGGATTACAGGCTTGAGCCACCGCGCCCGGCCAATTTTTTTTTTTTGACACAGAGTCTTGCTCTGTCACCCAGGCTGGAGTGCAGTGGCATAATCTTGGCTCACTGCAACCTCTGCCTCCCCGATTCAAGAGATTCTTGTGCCTCAGCCTCCGGAGTAGCTGGGATTACAGGTGCACACCACCAAGCCCAGCTAATTTTTGCATTTTTGGTAGAGACGAGGTTTCACCATGTTGGCCAGGCTGGTCTAGAACTCCTGACCTCCAGTGGTCCGCCTGCCTCAGCTTCCCAAAGTACTGGGATTACAGCCATAAGCCATCGTGCCTGACCTATGCAATAATTTTTAATAATTTTGTGCATAAAATAAAATTTGCGTGCATCGTAACATCAGGAAGCAAAGGTGTCACTACCTCAACCACTACCCATGTGGGTAATCTGTGGTTGTTTGGCATCACCATCATTCCTGACTCTGAAATTTATTTGCTACTGATAAGGAACCATTTTCCTATACTTATTCCCACATAAGTACATAACAGCAAAAAATATGATACACTAGTAATAGAATGAAAAAATAATACATTCAGGGTAACCAAGCAGCACAGTAGCACCACCAGAATACCTGTTATCAGCTGTTAAACAACAGCAACAACAAACAATGGCAGGCTTTCAGTCCCCACCTATCATGCTGTGTTTTGATTAAAAGGTTACTATACACCATTTTTTTAAGTTATCAGAAGCAGGTGAGAGACCAAGAAGTGGGTCTTCTAAGGATAAGAAGGCTTTCTGCTGGATGGCTTTTTAAAATGTTTTCTCCAGAGTCATCTGCCTTATTAACAATGCTTTTGATTTAGAAGTCTCTCTCTGACATTATAAACTGTGATGATTTCTTGTTCTTTTGTAAATGTACACTGTTTCAGTCCTTCAATAAGCCCATCACACATTTTCACCATTGCTATCGTTTGGATATTTGACTCTCCAAACCTCATGTTGAAATCTGATCCCCAGTGTTGGAAGTGGGGCCTAATGGGGTGTTTGGATCATGAGGGCAGATCCTTCATGAATGTCTTGGTGCCATTCTCTCAGTAATGAGTGAGTTCTAACTCTATTAGTTCCCACAACAGTTCACCTAGAACTGGTTGTTGAAAGAGGCTGGTACCTCATCCTCTCTCTCTCTTGCCTTCTCTCTCACCGTGAGATCTGCAGGTGCAGGCTCCCCTTCACCTTCTGCCATGAGTGGAAGCAGCCTCAGTCTCTTGCCAGAAGCAGATGCTGGAGCCATTCTTGTACAGCCTGCAGAACCATAAACCAAGTAAACCTCTTTTCTTCATTTTTTTAGAGACAGGTTGCCCAGGTTGAGTGCAGTGGCACAATCATAGCTCACTACAGCCTTGAACTCCTGGGCTCAAGAGATCCTCCTGCTTCAGCCTCCTGAGTAGCTGAGACTATAGGTATGTGCCACCACGTCTGGCTAATTATTAAAACTTTTTGTAGAGATGGGGTTCTTGCTATGTTGCCCAAGCCGTTCTCAAACTCCTGGGCTCAAGCAATCCTTCTGCCTCAGCTTCCTGAAGTACTGGGATTACAGGTGTGAGCCACTGTGCCAGGCCTAAGTAAACTTCTTTTCTTTATAAATTAACCAGCCTCAGGCATTCCTTTACAGCAACACAAACAGGCTTAGAAAATCATGTTGTCTGTAGGTATTTTTCTACAGTGTTAACAATATTCATCTTCATTGTCACCATTTTCATGACCACCTTGACCCAGAACCATTTCAGCTATTTCATCACTGGTCAATGAATGAACAACTGGAGTCTCATTATCAATGTTAAAAACTTCAATACCCATTTTTCCAGCTTTCAGGACTCTGAAGGAGTATTTTCTTGCATATGTAAGCAGGCCAGATTGCTTATCATTTTTTCTCATTTGACATATGGAATTCTTCAAAGTTACCATCTTGTTCATCTCACTGAACACAGTTGCAGGCCAGAGGTTGTGCCAGGCATGCACAAATTTGTCTTTAATCACTGTGCTCCAAGTGCTGGCAACAGCATAGATGGTAAACTTCGTGCTAAACTCCTGAAAACCTTCCACAGCCACGCCCCTGTCCACTGCTGTTGCATGCTATTCAAGAAAACGTTTTTATATTTACTCTTCATTGATCTAAGGATACTCTGTCACATGGCTGAATTAATAGTCACATTTTGGGGAAAGTACATGACATAAACATTATTTTTTATGAGAATTTCAGCTGGAGTATGAGCAGAACATTTGTCAAGGAATTTTTAAAAATTTTGTAGTC